GGCCACAGCCGCCAACTGGTCGTCCAGTGTCAGCCGTGGGTCCAGGAGGACCCCCAAGTTGCGAACCCTCTCCGAGGGGGCCAGGGTTTCGCCCCCTATAGTCAGCGATGGAATCAGCTGACCATACCTGGGAGCCGGCAGCCACAACCACTCAGTCTTGGAAGGGTTGAGCCTGAGTCTGTTTCTCCCCATCCAGATTTAGATTTAGATTTGGATTTGGATGATTTAGATTTGGATTTGGATTTGGATTTGAATTTGGATGATTTAGATTGGATTTGGATTTGGATGATTTAGATTTGGGTTTAGATTTAGATTTAGATTTAGAATTGGATTTGGATTTGGATTTGGATTTAGATTTAGATGATTTAGATTTATTAATTTTTTTCCTCCCTTCTCACTCTAAAAAGCAGGTTTTGGTTTGGGATTTGGGTTTTTTTGTTCATTTTTCTGAAGTAAGATGGGAAAGGAATGCTTGGATTTAAATATATAACTCTGAGCGCAACAAATAGATTTTTTTTGCAAATGGGAGGGGGAAGTATTGATTTTAGTAATAGGCTGCCTTATTGATGTATTTATTAGATCGGCAGCCTGTCTCAATTCCAGCAAATGTCTTTGATAAGAAGTTAATAATCTTTATATTGGTACATTAATATACAGTAATATATTACATTCTCTATCATCAATCTGTTTGACATCATCTGTCTGTCCATCCATCCATCCTTATATCCATCCATCTCCCTGTCTTTCCTTCCATCCATCTGTCTGTCCCATTCTCCCTCCCTCCCTTCACCCATCCATCCATCTGTCCCTTCATCCCTTCATCCCCCCCTTCCTCATTGCCTCCCTCCCTCCCTCCCCCACTCCATCCATCCATATATGCATCCATCTGTCCATCCATCCATCTGTCTGTCCATCCCTCCCTCCCTTCACCCATCCATCCATCCATCCATCCATCTGTTCCTCCATTCCTTCATCCCTCCCTCCCTCTATCCCTCCATATCTATCTATCTATCTATCTATCTATCTATCTATCTATCTATCTATCTATCTATCTATCTATCTATCTATCTATCTATCTATCTATCTATCTATCTATCTATCTATCTA